TACCTGATCCACCCATGTGAAGTAGTTTGAGTGACTTTAGGATTATATATTCTGAAATGCATCATCTTGGAAAATACCAATGCCCTCCAAAACCATTTCATCTATTTCCGCCACCTTTGAGTTTTCAATCACGATCAAATTTTCAAATTGATCCTCACACGCATTTTCACTGATATCAATTCATTCAGTTCGATCAACATCGACGTTGCCTGTTCCCGAAAGTATTTCCATATTACGCGCTAAAAATTTTTTTATTTTTATACCCTCCACCATACTATGGAGGGTATATTAACTTTGTCATTCCGTTTGATTTACGATGTCCGTCTGTCTGTCTGTCTGTCTGTCTGTCTGTCCGTCTGTCTGTTGTAATCACGCTATCTTTCGAATAAATTGAGATAGGTGGCTAAAATTTTACACACATGTTTATTTTTCCAGTAGGCAGGTTAAGTTCGTAAATGGGCCATGTAGGTCCACGTTTTCATATTGCACCCATATAACGGTACCTCCCTATATTCGGTATTTTGATGATTTTAGCGACATTATTCACGGGAATTGTTTCAAAATTGGTATTTGAAGTTCAAAATGGATACTACACCCTAAGACGGAAAATTATCCGTGCAGGTCCACGTCTTCGCCCCCATATAACGGTACCTCCCGATATTCGGTATTTTGATGATTTTAGCAACATTATTCACGGGAATTGTTTCAAATTTGGTGTTTGAAGTTCAAAATGGATACTACACCCTAAGACAGAAAATTGTCTGTGCAGGTCCACGTCTTCATATAGCCCCCATATAACGGTACCTCCCTATATTCGGTATTTTGATGATTTTAGCTACATTATTCACCGTTTATTTCAAGTTTCGAATTTGAATATGGTAATGGCTTATGACAAACAATGCCTATGTATGTCCACGTCTTATAGACCCCAAAATAACGGCTATATTCGGTATTTTTAAAATTTTAACATAATTTTTTAAGGATTTTATTTTTTGAAAATTTCCAAATTCGTTGCAAATGGTGGAGGGTATTAAAAGTTCGGCCCGGCCGAACTTACTGCTTTTTAACTTGTTATTTAATAGATTTTAATTTAATAGACGACTAATAATTACTCACCCAGTATGTATTTTCTGATTCGAAATTTGAAGTTCTGTAGTGCGATACTGTCGTGATTTATCGACTCAAAACAAAAAAAATCAATTCTGTAAGTAGTCGTACAACCTTTCTGGAAGATTTCAAGTTGGGTTTTGTTGGGGGCGATTGAGCTACTCATAATTTGGTTCATTCTTTCTAACATTATTTGTTTGTCTTTCAATGATCTTGCCACAAGATTCTTACAGTAAAGGGTTTTTTATCCCATACGTTCCAAAGGTACTACAGGAGGAGCTATGGATATCGAGCCAATCATTTACTACTTTTTTACTTTATAGCATTTGAGGTTGCGTTAGGGAAAAGTTTACTCCCTAACTCCACTTTTTGTCTTCCTTTGGGGGACGTTTCAGAAGGAGTGAGCCGATATTACCCATTTACTTTGACAGAGAGATGGATATAATGAAACGTAATGACTTGGTAGGACCCCATGTCATGTTTTTTGTGTATGAGGTATTATTAATTGACATTCTTCGTTTATAGTATTACTCTTATTGAGTTTCCTGGTCTTTTGATATTTTGGGACTTTGAGCTGCAATATTGCCATTATATTCATCTACAACTATATTTTCATTTTTATACCCTCCACCATATTATGGAGGGTATATTAATTATACCCTCCACCATACTATGGAGGGTATATTAACTTTGTCATTCCGTTTGTAACTCCTCGAAATACTCATGTCAGACCCAACAAAGTATATATATTCTTGATCAGCGTATAATTCTAAGTCGATTTAGCGATGTCCGTCTGTCTGTCTGTCCGTCTGTCTGTCTGTTGTAATCACGCTATCTTTCGAATAAATTGAGATAGATGGCTAACATTTTGCACACATGTTTATTTTTCCAGTAGGCAGGTTAAGTTCGTAAATGGGCCATGTAGGTCCACGTTTTCATATAGCTCCCATATAACGGTACCTCCGGATATTCGGTATTTTGATGATTTTAGCGACGTTATTCACCGGAATTGTTTCAAATTTGATATTTGAAGTTCCAAATGGATACTACACCCTAAGATAGAAAATTGTCTGTGCAAGTCTATGTCTTCGTATAGCCCCCATATAACGGTACCTCCCGATATTCGGTATTTTGATGATTTTAGCGAAATTATTCACGGGAATTGTTTCAAATCTGGTATTTGAAGTTCCAAATGGATACTACACCCTAAGACAGAAAATTGTCTTTGCAGGTCCACGTCTTCGTATAGCCCCAATATAACGGTACCTCCCTATATTCGGTATTTTGATGATTTTAGCGACATTATTCACTGGAATTGTTTCAAATTTGGTATTTGAAGTTCCAAATGGATACTACACCCTAAGACTGAAAATTGTCTGTGCAGGTGCAGGTCTTCGTATAGCCCCCATATAACGGCACCTCGCTATGTTCGGTATTTTGATGATTTTAGCGACATTATTAACCGGAATTGTTTAAAATTTGGTATTTGAAGTTCGTTATGGGAACTACAGTCTGTGACAGAAAATTGGCGGTGCGGGTCCAGTTTCGAATTTGAATATGGTAATGGCTTATGACAAACAATGCATATGTATGTCCACGTCGTATAGACCTCAATATAACGGCTATATTCGGTATTTTTAAAATTTTAACAGAATTTTTTAAGGACTTTATTTTTTGAAAATTTCCAAATTCGTTGTAAATGGTGGAGGGTATTAAAAGTTCGGCCCGGCCGAACTTACTGCTTTTTAACTTGTTTTGTCATTCCGTTTGTAACTCCTCGAAATACTCATGTCAGACCCAACAAAGTATATATATTCTTGATCAGCGTAAAATTCTAAGACGATTTAGCCATGTCCGTCTGTCTGTCTGTGTGTCTGTCCGTCTGTCTGTCTGTCTGTTGTAATCACGCTATCTTTCGAACAAATTGAGATAAAAGGCTTAAATTTTGCACACATGTATATTTTGCCAGTAGGCAGGTTAAGTTCGTAAATGGGTCATGTAGGTAGTTATCATATAGCCCCCATATAACGGTACCTCCCGATATTCGGTATTTTGTTGATTTTAGCGACATTATTCACCGGAATTGTTTCAAATTTGGCATTTGAAGTTCGTAATGGATACTACAGCCTAAGACAGAAAATTATCTGTGCAGGTCTACGTTTTCGTATAGCCCCCATATAACCGTACCCCCGATATTCGGTATTTTGATGATTTAAGCGACATTATTTACCAGAATCGTTTCAAATTTGGTATTTGAAGTTCATAATGGATATTACATCTTAAGTCAAAAAATGAGTCATGTAGGTCCACGTCTTCATATAGCCCCCATATAACGGTACCCCCGATATTCGGTATTTTGATGATTTTAGCGACATTATTTAACGAAATCGTTCCAAATTTGGCATTTCAAGTTCGTAATAGCTACTGCACCATAATACAGAAAATGGACCATGTAAGTCCACGTCTTCGTATAGCCCCCATATACCGTACTCCCCGATATTCGGTATTTTGATGATTTTAGGTACATTATTTACCGGGCTTGTTTCAAATTTCGCATGTGAAGTTCGTAATGGATACTTCAGCCCATGCCAGATAATTGTCTGTGCAGGTCCACGTTATCGTATAGCCCCCATATAACGGTACCCCCTATATTGGGTATTTTGATGATTTTAGCTACATTATAAACAGATTTTTCTTCAAGTTTCGCGTTTAAATATTGTTATAACTTATGACAAAAGTTGCTTACGCAGGTCTACGTCGTCGTATATGCATTCAGTATTTTTAAGATTTCAACAGAGTTTTTAACGGATTTTATTATTTTTTTTTTTTTTTTTGGAAATTGCTAAATTTGTACCAAATGGTGGAGGGTATTAAAAGTTTGGCCCGGGCGAACTTACAGCTTTTTTACTTGTTTTCTATTAATAATAATCTAATTTTGGGCATTTTAACGTGTATTGCAGGTTTCATATTTCTTTGACTGTAACTAACGATTCTTGGTATTTTGGGTTTTTTTCATTTTTCGATGGAATTGTTTCAAATTTCGTATTTGGAGTTTATGTTGGGTACCACTTCCTGCGACAAATAATTACCTTAACAGGTCCTCATTTTCGCATATCTCTCATATTCGTATATCTTCCGATATTCGGTATATTGGCGATTTAAGCCACATTTTTCAAAGGAATTATCTCAAAATAGGTATTTGGATAAGCATTGCCTTCTTTACCTGATAATTGGATTTACAGTCTACGTTAACTGTACCTGTATTCGACACTTTAATAAACGAAAATCGACATTTTTTTCGGAATTTTTATCTACACTTTTGCAATACGACTAGCCCGAATTTATCTGCTTTATTACTAGTTATCACTATAGAAAGAAATAAAAGATCAAAAGAACATGGGATGACCAAGTAAAAAATTATAGACCGAAATTGAACTAAGTCAACTTAAAACTCCTTTATTTTTTTACGAAGTAAGCAGCCGTTGACCAATGCCAGTAAAAAAAGTTATATTTGTTCTCACCTAAAGTTAGACCGAAATTTTCTAGTTATTCGAAATTTACAGTTCGTTTATACATTACTGGATTTAATAAACCCAGTGAATTTATGTTGCAAATTGCATATACTTCAAACAAATCCTTATAAAGGAGTTTAGCCTGGCAAAAATCTGTAATGTAAACAAACTATTAAGCATATAAATATTTTATATTACGTCATCGTGCTAAACAATTGTATGTTCATATCTCAAGATATAACAAGGGTATTAATGAATGTGGTTTTACATCGAATTATGAAAAAATACTGTCCTATATCTGCTTAAAAAACCTCAAGAGCAAGACCACTTATGACTCACCTTAAACATTATTATTGCAGAATCTATTATACTTATAATCTCAGTATTGACTTGCTCTTGGGCAAATAATCAATTGGCATTGTAAACACGAAAATATACTGTGAGAAAAAATGTGTTCACTGCCCGGTTTTGGACTATTTATTGGTTATGGCACCCTGATCTTGTACAGCATTATTCTAATTGTATCCATTGGTCTATTGGCCGATAAAAAATTGGTAGATGGAATTGTCGACGATATAGCTGACAAGGAGAATGATGTGAACATTTATGCAAGTATGCGATACATTTAAATGTGTGTGAAACAAAATTGAATATCCAGCAAAATAATAACCTCTTCTTTTTATCACCACTATTGTGATAAATCTCACTTCTTAACAACTTATATTCTCCTTTTTTATATTGTACAAATAATTGATTGTGTCTCTTTCAGCCACGATTGCCATCCGCTTTGCAATTGTCTTTACCATGATTGTGGGAGTTATAATGATTATTGTATCGGCCTATCTTATTAAGGGTATTGACAAGGTATGAATACTTAATGTTTATATTGAGGATACATATGCAGCTTGGTTTCGCAAGGCATATCTAATGAAACTTTATATGACTGCAAGCTGCTTATATATCCCCACTTTTAGCAAATAATGTTCAGAAAACTACGACAATTTTACTGGAGGGAGATATTTCTTGCCACATTCTTTACTGACCACTGCTTTTTCATAGAAACGACCCATGTCTTTGATACCCTGGCTGCTGATAACATTCATTTGTATAGTCGGATGCCTAATTTATAATTTTGTGGTACTATTAACCTCTGAAAATCCCGCTCAAGAGTTTGTTGTGGGAATGTCTATTGTTGGTAAGTTAGAATTGAAAAAAATCACAGTTTTCATTTTGGGTCTTAAATAAGTTGCTGTTATTTTTACATTTTATTACAGTTTTACAATGTGCCATATTCTATCCAATATACACTCTCTATCGAAAAATGCGGAAAGAAAAATTTCCAGCACCAGTGGATAGTATCTAAAGCCGTGTTTATACTGGACATGTTTTCATAAAATGCTGTTTTTAGTTTCTAAGTTCCTTTGATTATGCATAAAATAATTGACGAATCTTCGTAATATTCAAATATATATTTACATATTTCTGTAAATGGCAGTGGTCAGAATCCATCAGATTTTTTGACGTCTTTCATGAGCCCACTGAACAACCTAAAACAAATACTTTGTTAATAACAACATCGGTCGGCTTCTGAATTGTAATATTAACAATTTGCCAGGCTAATTCATTTAGGAGGCAAGTTCCCAACCCGTTATTCTACAGCTCAAGCAGATATTAAAATAAACGTTTCATGTCATTGAAGCCAGATCTTTAGAAAAAGTAAAATCGGTTTTAAATTATATTGCACAAGATGACTGTTTGTGGTATGACAAGAATCTCACTATCAGGTACAACTGTTCCAACCTGTAACTTACGACATTAATTGTACCCATAACTGACAATGTTCCACTTTGAAATTTGAGAAATGCAGCAGTTCGGTATGTTTTTGTAAATCACTTCACTAATTCTTTATTTTAATGCTACTATGCAATAAGAAAAAATTAAAATTGTTTTCACAATTGATTTGACCTTAAAACCTAAAAGCCTGGTCAAGATCGAAAGGACTTTTATTGTAATTTGTGAAATGCAGCGGATCGGTATGTCTTTGTAAATCACTTCACTAATGCTTTATGCAATAAGAATAAATTAGAAAAGCTTTCACAATTGGGAACTGTAACACCGATGTCTATTTGATAACAAACACGTAAAAAAGCAGTAAGTTCGGCCGGGCCGAACTTTGAATACCCTCCACCATTTGAAACTAATTAGAAAATTTTCAAAAAATAAAATCCTCTAAAAATTCTATTAAAATCTTTAAAATACCTAATATCGGAAGGTGCCGATATATGGAGGTATACGATATTGTGGACCTTTATAGACATATCTATGTCTGGGGGGTAAAGTACTCACAAGGAACTCCTTGTGTGGATAATTAACATCCGTACCGTTCTATAGGGGCTATACGATATCGTGGACCGATATAGCCCATCTTCAAAATTGGCCTGCCTGTAGACAAAAGACAGATCTGTGCAAACTTCTTATCTTAATTTGTTTCAACTGTAGCGTGATTACAACAGACGGACAGACTTCAAAGTTGTGATGGATACAACGTACTGAGGAAGGATCGCTCCAGAGGTGGAGGTGGAGGATTAGCGTTCCTATTGCACCACTCTGTCCAGTACAGACCTATCTCGCCTGAGCTTGACTCTAGTGACCCGTACATGGAATGTATAGGGGTAGCGGTCAAGTGTGGAACCGCCGAGGTAGAGGTGCTCAACGTGTACATTCCGCCGTTAAATAGCTATGCCCCACGTTATATGCCTAATATCAGTTCCCTACTGGTAGGCAATAACCATCATGAATTATGGCATTCCGTCCTAGGTAATGACCAGAGAGGCATGGCGCTGGCTGAGCAAATCGATAGCTCCACGTTTTGCACAGTGAATGAGGACGCGCCCACCAGAATAAGGGGAGACTGCCACAGTTCTCCGGACATATCCATCGTGTCCCCAGGTCTGACGAATGACGTAACTTGGCAATCAGTCATTTCTCTAGACTCAGACCACCTCCCCATTATTATCGCCATCAATAGACCACCCGACTTCATCGACTCTGAACGCCGCACTTTCCTTAACCACGGGAAAGCTAATTGGCAAGAATTCAGACAGTATACCAATCGCCGCTTCAGAGAACTGCCCAACCCATCTGATGTTCAGGTAGCAGATAGGTGTTTCCGGGACATCATCAAAGCTGCAGCCGCTCGCTATATACCTGCTGGTCGAATACCTGTAATAAGACCAAATTTCCCAGCAGAGGCAGCGGGATTAGCAAACGAGCGAGATGAGCTTCGCCGTACTAACCCTAATAAAACCAGAGTCAGGGAACTTACTCTGGAGGTAAACACGTTAGTAGGTGATCATAAGCGGAAAAAGTGGTTAGAACATCTGAAGCATTGCAACATCGGTACCGGAACGAGTAAATTGTGGGCAACGGTTAAGTCGCTTTCGAACCCTGGAAAAAGGACGATCGGACATCTGTCTCATTTAACGGCGTAGAAGTGACAGATCCGAAGAGGTGCGCGTGTTATTTTAACCGGCAGTTTGTAGAGCACCCCGAGAGTGACAGGGCGAAGAGAAGGATACTACGCCGTGTACGATCCCTTCCAGCCGAGGAGGTACCACCACAATTTACGTTGGCAGATGTTGCACAGGTCATCAGAAGCGCAAAGTCATCCAAAGCGCTTGGTCCTGACGGAATCTCAATGGTGATGTTGAAGCAACTGGATAAACCAGGAGTTGAGTATCTGACAAAGCTTCTCAATCTGTCGTTAGCCACCCTAGTAGTCCCCGATGCCTGGAAAATGGGCAGGGTGGTCCCGCTACTGAAGCCAGGCAAGGATGCCAGCAAAAGTGATTCATACAGGCCGATATCACTTTTGTCACCAGTAGCAAAGACGCTTGAGGCTTTACTCCTCCCCAGCATAAGAGAGTGTTTCCCAGTAGCCGATCATCAACACGGATTCCGAAAATTGCATAGCACAACAACAGCATTACACGCCATTTCCACACATGTCAGTAGAGGTCTCAACCAGAACAGGCCGTGCGATAGAACAGTTATGGTGGCACTTGATTTATCAAAAGCCTTTGATACAGTCAATCATGCCACACTGTTCGAGGACATTGAACGCACCACCCTCCGGCCAAGTTTGAAACGTTGGATAGTAAACTACATGTGTGGACGCCAGTCGTACGTGGAATTCAGAAACAAGAAGACGAGCATCCGTAGAGTTAAACAGGGAGTTCCCCAAGGTGGGGTGATATCTCCGGAACTGTTTAACCTCTACCTTTCTGAAATCCCACGCCCTCCAGACGGCATAGAGATTATTACGTACGCAGATGATTGTACGCTCGTGGCGTCCGGACCCATTATTGATGACATTTGCGATCGGTTGAACGCTTACCTTGTTGATCTTACCGCCTTTTTCACTGCGAGGAATATGAAGATATCCACCACTAAGTCGACGGCCACACTTTTCACCACATGGACTGCGGAGATGGGGCTATCCTTGAAGGTGCAGGTCGATGGTGCTATTATTCCGACCACCAACTACCCCAAGGTATTAGGGGTCACATTCGATAGCGTCTTTAAGTCGTCCGCGCATACCACAGCTATCTGCGACAAGATTAGAAGTAGGAACAAGGTCCTCAAGTCTCTGGCCGGTAGTACTTGGGGAGCTGATAAGGAGACCTTGTTGACCTCTTACAACGCGATAGGCCGGTCTGTGGTAAACTATGCGGCTCCAGCGTGGTCCGCTAACGTCAGTGCTACGCAGTGGAAAAACGTTCAGTCCTGCCAGAATGCCGCCCTTAGAACCGCAAAAGGGTGCCTTCTCATGACATCCGTCGATGACCTACATGAGGAGGCGAAGGTCTTACCAGTGCGACAGCATAACAAAATGCTGTCAATGCAAAACCTGCTTGGGTGTTATAGACAAAGCCATCCAAATCACCATCTTGTGGATAGGCAACCTCCGCCCAGGCACGTTAGGAAAGACCTTCATGATCTAGAGAGAGAGGTATAGAGGTATAAGAGAGAGCCTCTAGATCAACAGGCCTATCAAGCGGGACTGAATAGTATTCACTCAAATGCGGTCTCAGAAGCCATTGAAGGATATAGAGTGAATACTGTGCTAGGAGACCATCCCCCTCCTGTCGCAGCTGAAGAACGAGAGCTGCCCCGACAAACCCGAGTAGTCTTGGCTCAATTACGATCCGGATGGTGCAGCCGCCTAAATTCCTACTGGGCCCGGATCAACGGCGAAGTGCAGAACATCTGCCCAGCATGTGGCACAGGCCCACATGACACGCTGCACTTATTTCGCTACCCAGCCAAGCCTACTCACCTAACTCCAGTCTCGTTATGGACTCAACCCATACAGGTTGCATCCTTTTTGAGACTGGACTTAGAGGCAGAACCTGATTGAACTGAGTCAGAAAATGGAAACCGAACGAACACATATGTATGAGCTGCTACAACAACAACAACGGACGGAAAGGGCTAAATCGTCTTAGAATTTTACACTGATCAAGATTATATATACTTTCTTGGGTCTAAAATGATTATTTCGATGAGATACAAATGGATATACAAATGGATGAAAGATTCGATTTGGAGTGGCTTTGCCGGTATGCTGGCGTTTGGTGCAATGTTTTGCAGAGTGAAGGGTGGTTTTTGGCAGCCTCAACTCTTTCGGTTGACAAAGAAAAGATATCATGCATGGTACAATCAGGAGGTAGAACAGCTTCGTAAAACTACAAAATTAAATGCAACAAGTTGTTTTCATTTTTTTCCTTATTTAAAAAAAAAAAAAATTACTTAGCCCGAAAGCTAAATGAAATATCTGTATATTCTTACATAAATAAAATCCAAACTTTTCAATCTTTAAAATTAATAGTAAAACTGGTTATTGTCTTTAATACTCAAGACGATAAATACATCAAAATTGACAGATGTCGGGCACATTTAGAAAAAAATTGTGACACTATGTAGTAATATGTAATTTTTGTTGTAATTCAGTGCCTAATTTATATATATCTTAAATTTTATCGGCATTATGTTTAGGCTGACAATATCCAAAATTATGTATTAGTTGTAAAATCTTAAGAAACAAATTGAAAAATATGATATTTTAGAGTGTATAAAGTAATATATGACATACTGTATGTACAGAAGAATAAAAGATAGAAAAAAAAAGTAATGAAACTCTTAAAATCTTAAACCTAACCTACACCACTTTGCATATTTAGTAGAGCTTTACATAACAAATAAAAGTTTTAATGGGGAATTTGTGAGAATTAAATCATATCATAATTAAATCATACCACCTAATAATTAAAAGACCAAAAAACTAATATATGGGAGGAATATCTGAATCTGAAGGAATATCTGAATCGATTTCTACAAAATTTGTCGAGGCATTTGAGCCTTTTCAATTCGGGCTTATATTATCCATTTGGTGCACAATTAACTTTGAAATCGGATAGATATATATTATAACTATATCTAAATCTGAACCGATCTCGATAAAATTTGGCAAAGGTATTTCTGAGCTGTATTTGGTATATTTCCCAGAATATCGTTACTACGGAGTGCATATTACGGCTATGCAGGGCAAATTCAACAAATCAATGAACAATATATATGGGAGCTATAGCTATATCTGAACCGATTTCCACCAAATTTGGCATACTGATTTCTAGACTCAATTTGGTCGTAAGTACCAAACTCAATTCCATTTGAGCTAATATTATACATTTGGTTTTGATAAAAGGCAAATCGGACGAAGATATAAATGGGAGCTATATCCAAATCTGAACCGATCTCGATAAAATTTAGCAAAGGTATTTCTGAGCTGCATTTGATATATTTCCCGAAATATTGTTGTTACAGAGTGCATATTACGGCTGCGGAGGAGGAGGGAGCTAAAGCTATATCTGAACCGATTTCCACCAAATTTGACATACTGGTTTTTAGACTCAATTTGGTCGTAAGTACCAAACTCCATTCCATTTGGGCAAATATTAGACGTTTGGTGTACAATAAAAGGTAAATCGGACGAAGTTATATATGGGAGCTATATCCAAATCTGAACCGATTTCAATAAAATTTAGCAAAGAGATTTCTGAGCTGCATTTGATATATTTCCCCAAATATTGCTGTTACAGAGTGCATATTACGGCTGCGGAGGACAAAAATAACAAATCGGATGAACAATATATATGGGAGCTATAGCTATATCTGAACCGATTTCGATTTCAAATTTGGCATACTTATTTTCAGCTCCAATCTGGTCGTATGTGCAAAATTCCATACTATTTGGACGAAAATATATATGGGAGCTATACCTAAATTTTGACCGATTATCTCCAATTTCAATAGGGCTCGTCCTTGGGTCAAACAAATTATTTGTGCAAAATTTCATCTGAATCGGGCAATAAATGCGACCTGTACTTTGTTTACAAAAATACATGGACAGACGGACGGAGGGACAGAGAGGCAGACGGACGGACGGACATACATAAATCGACTCAGTATGTGATTCTATGCAGATCATCAAAAGGAACTATGGGTCTATCTCGCTTTCTTTTGTCTGTTATAAGCAAATGCACAAAGACATAATACCCTGACCACCTTGTGGTGTAGGGTATAATAAACCACCAATTACAACTGAAAGACAACAGTCTTTTTATGAAAACAGTTTCCCTAACGGTTAGCCGTGAATTACCAACCATTGAGAAACAGTCTCGCCACGAAACAACGTGTGTCCCCGATTTTAACTTATTTTACTTGACTGCATCCTTACAGCCTGGCTAAATTTATTAGATTAAAATTAAGTATGCAATACTTTGCTATTGAAATTGGGCCATATAGGTCCATGTTTTGGTATAGGCTCCATATAACAGTACCGACAGATTTAAGAGTTTTTTGGGTGTTTTAGTCACAATTTAAAATCGAATTTGCTGTAGATTGGTAACATGTGTTCTCAATAAGTGGAAAATATCCATGTAGAGAACTGTACGCATGGCCCAAGTTTTTGTATAGACCCCCATATAACTGCACTTCCAGATATTCGTCGTTTTGATGATTTGTGTCACATTTTTCTTTTATTCTGTTATTTCAATCACGATGGTAGTCAGGTGGCTGGAAAGGGAGACATTATAGTTAGGTCATGTTTCCCCCAAAGCTGTCATGTTTTCCCAAATGAGTCCTTTCAGAGGCACACCCCACAAAACACTTTTTTATTAGCACACATTTTTTTTTTTTTAAAGTGACCTATGTATAATGTAGAGGTCACACACCTAATGTTATAAAATGTTAATGTCAACATACTCGTTTTCCAGACTATCAAACTACTTTATGAAGAGTAGTATTTTATTTTTTTGCAAAGTTAGTTTAAATTGCACGAAATATTTAATTAATGTTAATTTGTCCTTATTCTTATGATCATTTCGTTTCGCGTTTTTTTTCTGATAATTATCGCTGGATGGAGCAAATATAAACGAATTAATCTAAAAACAGCTGTTATTTTATTAGATGTAATGTCAAAATTCATACTCGAGGCGAAAATAAAATTGTTCGCTTTGATAGAAGATTTTTGTGGCTAATATGCTTGTTGTCAAGTTTTTTTTGACAACTGGATTGGAAAATGTATGTATAAAATTGCTGCTGCGACAGTCTATTCAAAACAAGTCGAAAACGGAATTCTTCAATTATTGCCGATTTCAAATTGGACACGCAGTGACGTTTTGTTTGTATTGATTACAACAATTAAGTCCAATCATTATTGAGATAAGATGTTAGTGAACGAAGCCAGTTTAATGTTGGGTGGTACTGATGCTGTGGTCGCACAACGATAGTGCCACTATCTCGGGCAGTCAAAAAAACCAGCAGCAGCCTGAAGTTACTACTGAAATCCTAATAAAGCTGGCGAGAAACCGTGGATTTGTAGTAAGGGTAATCGTGGTTTATGTGTCATGAACATTGCAGGTACCAATGCAAAGTAAAATTTTAATCTAAACAAATAAAAAATATTAAGTTCGGCCGGGTCGAACTTTTCATACCCTCCACCTTAGGGTAAATGAAACATTTTTATATAAAGTATCTGAATTAAAACGTGCTCCACTTTAATCTACAAACTTATCAAAAAAACATAAAGTGAGTGAGGCCATTATATGGGGACATACCAAAACCGGAACCTCTACAGACAATTTCATTCTTCAAGGATTGTCATCTATAAAATCTTATGAAATATAAAATTTGAATATTTATGTGGGTAAATGTGACTAGGATTATCAATATACAGAATATCGACGGGTATAGTTATATGTGCGCTATAGGAAAACGTGGACCTAAATATTCAATGTTTCGCCACCGGAGCTAGAACCCGTTACGACCCACAAATAATAATTTTTAGACAATGTGGCAAAAATCATCAAAATACCGAATATGGGGAGGTACCGTTATATGGGGCTATACCAAAACGTGGGCCTATACATACAACGTTTCGCCACATGCGGAAACCCCCATTATGTCCCACAAATACCAATTTTTACACAAATCCGTGAAAAAAATGGACAAAATACCGAATATCGAAAGGTGCTGTTATATGTGGACTATACCAAAACGTGGATGTATATATCTCAATACCAACCATAATAGGCACAATATAATTGACCCTCTACGTCAAATAATGTGGGCTGTATCGTGATTTCAACAGACAGACGGACAGAGAGACGGACAGACAGACAGACAGACATACGGACATCGTTAAATCGACTTAGAATTTTATGCTGATTATGAATACATATACTTTATGAATATTTAAGGATGTTACAAACGATGAATATTTACGGATGTTACCAACGGAATGACAAAATTAATATACCCTGCTTCCCAAAGTGGAGGGTATAAAAATAAGACTTTCTTTGAAAGAATCTATAAAACGAAAAGTATACTACCGGCACACAGTGCAATTCTAATTAATATTGGCCAAAATAAATAGAAATCAAAAAGGCAAGATATAGGTCACGGGATGCGATGTGCACAAAGTGTTTCTGAACCTTCATAGAATCACTTTCTGAGTCGATTTACGCATGTCAGTCCGTCTGTCCGTCCGTCCGTCCGTCCGTCTGTCCATGTATTCTTGTGAACAAAATGCAGGTCGCATTTATTATCCGATTGAGATGAAATTTTCCAAACAATATTTTTTTGGCACAAGGACGAACCCTATTGAAATTGGTGAGAATCGGATCAAATTAAGATATAGCTCCCATATATATCTTCATCCGATTTCGGGTTAAATGTGCACCAAATGTCCACTATCAGTCCAAATTACCTGAATTTTGGCACACCCAACCGAGTTCGGCCTAGAAGCAAGTATATCAAATTTGGAGAAAATCGGTTCAGATATAGCTATAGCTCCCATATATATCTTTCATCCGATTTGATCTTTAAGTCCCTCACATTCCTACTATGCACTCCACAACCGTGATATTTGGTACCAGGTATTAGATGGAGCACAGAAATAGCTGTTTTAAATTTTATCGAAATCGGTTCAGATTTGGATATAGCTCCCATATATATCTTCATCCGATTTCGCGTTAATTGAGCACCAAATGGACAATATCAGTCCAAATTACCTGAATTTTGGCACACCCAACCGAGTTCGACCTAGAAGCAAGTATATCAAATTTGGAGAAAATCGGTTCAGATATAGCTATAGCTCCCATATATATCTTTCATCCGATTTGATCTTTAAGTCCCTCACATTCCTACTATGCACTCCACAACCGTGATATTTGGTACCAGGTATTAGATGGAGCACAGAAATAGCTGTTTTAAATTTTATCGAAATCGGTTCAGATTTGGATATAGCTCCCATATATATCTTCATCCGATTTCGGGTTAATTGAGCACCAAATGGCCAATAAAAGTCCAAATGGACTGAATTTTGGCACACCCAACCGAGTTCGGCCTAGAAGCAAGTATATCAAATTTGGAGAAAATCGGTTCAGAAACAGCTATAGCTCCCATATATATGTTTTATCCGATTTGGTGTTTAAGTCTCTCACATTCGTAATATGCACTCCACAAGAATGATATTTGGTACCAGATATAAGATACAGCCCAGAAATAGCTGTTTGTAATTTTATCGAAATCGGTTCAGATTTGGATATAGCTCCCATATATATCTTTATCCGATTACGGGTTAATTGTGGACCAAATGACCGATAAAAGTCCAAATGGACTGAATTTTAGTACATCGGACCAAATTCAGCCTAGAAGCAAGTATATCAAATTTAGTGAAAATCGGTTCAGATATAGATATAGCATCCATATATATGTTTCATCCGATTTAGTGTTTTAGTCCCTTACATTCGTAATATTCACTCCACAACCGTGATATTTGGTACCAGGTATTAGATGGAGCACAGGAATAGCTGTTTTAAATTTTATCGAAATCGGTTCAGATTTGGATATAGCTCCCATATATATCTTCATCCGATTTCGGGTTAAATGTGCACTAAATGGTCAATGTCAGCCCAAATCACCTGAATTTTCGTACATAAGACCGAATTCAGTCTAAAAGCTAAGACGTAAAATTTGGAGAAACCCTGTTCAGAGATAGCTATAGTTCGTAAAATGCACGATAGAATTAGATAGATTTTGATTTTGAACCAAATATCTCATAGAGCTCTGAAATGCCCTGTATAAGCCTTTTTACGAGAGCTCTACTAAATATGCATTGTGGTGTAGGGTATCATATAGTCGGCCCCGCCCGACTTTTGAGCTTTCCTTACTGGTTTATCTTCTATATATATAAAAATCAATTTTTGTTTGTTGGTAACGGCTGGGCCGATTTGCATAATTTTTTGCACAAACGTTCGTCATACCCCGAGTTAGGTTTTTATACCCTACAACACTATGTGTTGGGGGTATTATAAGTTTGATTGGGCCAGAATTTATGTAACACCTCGAAATATTGATTTCCCATATAGGAAAGTATATATGGATCTTCCTAGCTCGCCGAGCTGAGTCGATCTAGCTATGTATGTCCGTCCGTCCGTCTGTCCGTCTGTCCGTCTGTCCATGTTAATTTGTAATCACTCTACAGGTCGCAATTATGGCCCGACCTTCACGAAATTTAGAATGGAGGTGGGGCTTAGGTCAGAATAGAACCCTATTTCTTTTGGAGATGATCGCATAATATTTAGGGGTTGAAATGGACCAAATACTGAAAAAATGTCGGATTTTGAAGTAGCTATACAGGTCGCAATTATAGAACAATCGACGCGGAATTTCGCATGTAGCTAGAGTTAAGGGCGGAGAAGAAGCCTACCAATTTGGGTGGTCATCGGATAATATTTAGCGGGTAAAATATACCATATCTTTTGTGTTGAAAAAATTCAAAATTTTTCATGAAACCGCGAATATTTTAAATACCGGCGAAATCCCTAAGCCATGACAAGGTTACTTCTGACCTTTACATTGATGTTAACATCCAACAAATCGGATATATAGCGAACTATGTGCGATATATATGTCTATAAAAGAAGATATGCTTGAAAGATCTCTTATATGTCGACAACGGCTGAACTGATTTCGACAGTTCTCATTAATTCAGAATGGCCTCTTGGCAGGAAAGAAAAAACGTCTAAAAAATCGCATAAAAATATGTCTATGAAGATGAAAATATTGATTTTTTTAAATTTTCTCATATTTTTTCAATTTTGTCATATTTTTGGCATATTTTCATTTTGAATTAAACATTTGGTAATATGTCTACGGCTAACAAAACTAAGTAGTTAGGATATCAGGATATCATATACAGATCGCATTTATGGCCCGATCCTTACGAAATTTTGCATGGGTATAAGATGAGGGTCAGAATAGAAGGCTACTCTTTTTGGAGATGATCGCAAGATATTTAGGGGTTGAAATGGACCAAAAAACTGCAAAATTGTCAGTAGGTCGTAATTATCGCCCGATCCTCAGGCACATTTGAATGGGGGTTACCGGACATTGCAAAAGCCAAGCAGTTTTGGATGGCCATCCAAAAATATTCAATGTGTGAAATAGTTTGCCAACTTTTGTAGACAAAATACGAAAATGTCTATTCCAGTGACTTTTTGGAGAATTCACAAATAACGCTGATTTCTTTGAAGAATATAGTCAAATGTCTGTACCTCATATAGATGCGTTTCAGTCAAAAACCAATAATAAATGTTAATCTTTTGCCACTTCTGGGAGATTATAGGTCTTTGGGAAATATTGGTTCCAGATCTAGGAAGACCATTTACGTGCAACATCTGCCAATAAATTGGAAATAAGGAAATTAGTTTAAGTTGCTATTATTCAAAAATTAGAGAACGAAACCTGATGGTTTTCTTTTATTATTTGTCACAATATCTTGTGGAATTCTTTCGAGTATCTCGCCTATATAAACTGTATCGTTTATTATAGTGTTGTAGGGTATTCAACGGTCGGCCCCGCTCGACTGTAGCCTTTGCTTACTTGTTAAAGAAAAAATATTGACCACGCCTCCTTTTACGTCCACTATTACGATTTATCTAAAATCTTTATATTTGTCAAAATAGTGAAGATATCGGTTTGAGAATTATTACACGAGATGCTGTTGGCTTTCCATAAAACCCTAAGTACTTATTTAGGGGCTGAGGAACGCGCCTACTTTTAAATCTATCTCTCTATATGTAAAAGAAAGTTGTGTTAGTTACTACTCTTATAACATAAAGACCGCCGGTCTGATTTTAACGATTTAGACAAATTCGGAATTGCCTCTTGGCAGAAAGGAATAAAATCCAAAAAAAAAATCGCGTAAAAATGTTAAATTTGAACATTTTTATTTTGACTTTTAAAATGTACAATAGTAATGTTTTATATTGCATATTTTTTCCATTTTGACTTACTATTTTCGAATGTACATTTGTAGTTTTTTTTTTTTTTTTTTTTTTTTTTTGAATTCTAATATGATGTGTAGGTTTTTTTGGGTAGTATAAAGCCACAACGGATAAAACTGTTATTTATAGATTTGATGTATTTATTCGTAATACCCAATAAATACATAAAATCTATAAATAACAATTTTATCCGTTGTCGCTTTATATGAAAATTCTAAAATCGGAAAAAATCGACAATTTTTCAATGGAATCGAATTTCAAAATAATAGTACATTCTACCGACAAACTTCATAAGGACCTTTAAAAATTTGACGCAAAAAAAAAAAATCAGCGAACCAAATGAAGATTCTTTTTCTTTTTTCTATATTGAAGTGTCATTTTTTTATTGGTTTGAATTCTAAATGAATAATACTAAAAATGAAATGAGGGCGCAATACGATGTTAAATGCTTTCTACTCCAGGACCTACATCGGGCTTCAGCTGGAAGATGCGAACACATTTAAACAAACAAATATGACCAAAGAAGCGTTATGGGGTTCATTTCAAAAGTGGACCTTCTTCTTTCATATGACAATAAATTGTCAAATGAGAACACAAAATGCAAAATACATTGGGACTGTAATCAGTCAAATGCCGACTATAAAGAACGCAAAATAGAAATTCTACCTAAACATTCAAGATACCTTTAATCGCTTTGGCAGGTCATGATATGGATCATAACCCCTGATAACGGAAGAACCCGATTTTAAGTAATTTTAGCTTATGTTGATAATTTAAGAAGAAACCATCTTTGCAAAAAATTATCACGTTTTGGTATCACCATCATATGATTTAAGGTATTTTCGGGGTCTTGGCCACTTTTTTCATTTTTTGGCCCTTATTTGACATCTTTGTTTCTAAGGGGGAAGAAAACCTCTTCTTATAAATTTTTATTTTTCGGAAAAGTGCGCATCTTAGTCTTGAGGCTAACTGGGGTAAAAAACCCTGGGGTAGAAAATCATCTTACAGATAATTATCCTCATAGGAATTTATTTAAGTATAGGCCCCACATTAGCATACCCCCAAGTCCACTTTCACAACCAATGTGTGGTCAGAAACGAAAATTGGGTATTCTATTGAATTTGTAACCCCCAAGAGAATATTGGTTGGGAACGTAGATTTGGGATGTACGTCTATATGAAATAAACTCTGAAATGTCAATCTGGGACTCATTCAGTCGGAAATTGTGGCAGAATTGTGTGAAGTAACTTTATTGGATCTTCACCGCACTATTTAAATGACAAATGATTTAAATGACGGAGCAAAAGAGTAATTTTTTTGGCTATTCTGACAACATTCTGCCTTCAAGTATGAGGTGGACAAAACTGAATACCATGAAATTCGGACAAATACCAAAAAGCCGGGGGATATTGTCATACAACGACGCATTGATGGTTCGGAGGATTTCTTCCGACCATGGGCTGATTATAAAAAGGCATTTGGCAATAGTTCTAGAGAGTTTTTCATTGGCATTGATAAATTGAATAAACTCACCAATTCCCGTCCCTATGAGTTGCTGATTCTTATGGCAGATTGGGAAAATGATAGTCGTTTTGCCAGATACGATCAATTCATAATTGGCAACGAAGCTGATAAATATGTTCTCAAGGAATTGGGTAAATACAGTGGTTCCGCTGGAGATGCCTTGGGCTATTCCTTGGGTCAGAAATTTACAACAAAGGATGAAGATAATGATGTTTGGAATAAAAATTGTGCTGTTGAATGTACCGGCGCCTGGTGGTATAAGGATTGTCACAAAAGGTGAGATGACTACTATTTGTTATTTTTTTATTATTGACTATCAATTTTTTGTGGTTTCTCATTGTTCTGGTAGCAATCTCAATGGCCGTTATATCAAAGGCGGCACCACCACTGCCTTTGCCCAAGGCGTTGATTGGGATCCATGGAAGGGACAATATTATTCGTTGAAATTTGTTAAAATGATTTTACATCTCACATAGAAAGGACAATTTATGCACCTAAACTACAAATATAAATACTTAAATAATGAAAAAAATGTGAATTTGAAAATATTTCTTGATGACAATAAAAATAGATTTCAAGATAATGGCAAACCAGTGTAGACATTTTTTATGATATTTTATTGTTGGAATATAATCAAAACAAGTAAACAAGTACTAAAGTTCAACTTATAATACCCTCCATGGGTATTACACTTTTTTATACCCTCCACCATACTATGGAGGGTATATTAATTTTGTCATTCCGTTTGTAACTCCTCGAAATACTCATGTCAGACCCAACAAAGTATATATATAGAATTGAGATAGAAGGCTAACATTTTGCACACATGTATATTTTGCCAGTAGGCAGGTTAAGTTCGTAAATCGGCCATGTAGGTCCAAGTTATCATATAGCCCAATATAACATTACCTCCCGATATTCAGTATTTTGATGATTTTAGCGACATTATTCACTGGAATTGTTTCCAATTTGGCATTTGAAGTTCGTATTGGATACTACAGCCTAAGATAGAAAATTATCTGTACAGGTCCACGTCTTCATATAGCCCCCATATAATGGTACCCCCCGATATTCGGTATTTTGATGATTTTAACGACATTATTTACCAGAATCGTTTCAAATTTAATATTTGAAGTTCGTAATGGATACTACATCCTAAGTCAGAAAATGAGCCATGTAGGTCCACGTCTTCATATAGCCCCGATATAACGGTACCCTCCGATATTAGGTATTTTGATGATTTTAGCTACATCATTTAACGGAATCGTTCCAAATTTGGTATTTGAAGTTCGTAATAGATACTGCAGCATAAAGCAGAAAATGGGCCATGCAGGTCCACGTCTTCGTATAGCGCCCATATACCGTACCCCAGCAAAATCGACGCCAATACATCAAAGCCATTGAAAGTTTATCCTTGTGTGTGGTTTGATCCCCGATATGAATCATTTCTGTAACCAATACAAATCCATTCCAGTGAGAACAAGAGGGAGGCCCAATATTTGCAATCTGTTGAAGATAGTTCCAAATTGGACGGTTCGTATGAATGTATTTTGTGTGCCTCTTGCCCATAATACTTGTGGAATATCGAGTATTACTTGGGCCCTGCTGTGTTCATGCAGGCCTAACGCTGGATCATTTATTGTCTCATTTTTCTGTAAGAAATCGATTACTCTAAAAATTAACATCCACTTACGATTTGTGCAGTGCAGTTAATTTCGGTTTTTTTTTAAACAATTTTCACAAACAACAGCTACTACAGGATAACCATCAGGTGTAAAAGGATTTGTTTTGATATCATTCAGTCAAAATCTTAAAAACTCTTTTAATCCCGCTGGCCATTATAACAAGTCGTACTCATACGTTTCCGTAACTTTAATTTCGTCAAATGACAAAACACATATTTTACGCATATCTAACGAAATATAATTTACTTGGGGCATGATTTCAAGAGGTGACAGTAAGAATCCTTCTTTTACACAAATTTTATTGCATCAGCGATGTAGCGTTGAGATGCTGGGCAACGGATATCACTTGTTGTATAAATGCCTGTATACTCTCTGACCAGCCGTGTGCAAACAAACAGCGCTGGAAATGTCTTTCCACTCCACTATGCCACATTAATTTGTTTTTCATTTGACCATCAGAAATCAAGGCCCTTACTAGCTTGCAAAAGCTCTTAATTTAACTCCTTATTCCGGTTTCGCAGTTCCTTTATCAATTCTACGTATGTGTCCATTACAGCTGCGAAAGTTATGGGACTGTAAATATTTATGATAACTTTAAAATTATCCTGAATTTATTTACGTCTATTATTACCCGGCCTGTGCTTCCTAGTCTTTATACATTTTGGTCGGATTTTCTTGATGGATATTCCTTTGTGTATTGTAAAAATCTGTGCTTCATTTTAAAAATATAAATAACCCAATATTGTGTTCAAGAATTGGAACAACGTAATGTCATAATCCCTCACCTCAAGTTCGAAGTATTACCTATGTGCTTCAGTGGTATTCTGGGACAGCATTGACAATAATCTATTCCGGATTTTACAATATGATCCATATTGCAGCGGTTCGAACACTCGAACTTAACAAAGTGCACTCCATTTTGCCCTTATCCTTGGGGACGGCAAAAAATGATTTCTTCCCTGACACCTCTTTTTTTGTATATCTTGCTTCCTCCGTAATTTCTGTATTTCGAATCGGTTACTGTATACCCACAACCATATGGCTAGTTATACCCTTATCAATATGGCTAGTTATACCCTCAGCCATGCAGAGGGTATATATCATTTGATACGGTCACAACGTGCCTAGTCGAAATAACAGTTTTAAACCCTAGGTCTCCTTGGACCAAATCCGTCCGTCTCTCGAAGGGAGTATCCGATTTGGTCCAAACTTGGTACATCGTAATATTTTTGTCAGACTTATATCGAGTTCGGAGATAGACAATATCGGTACACTCCTTATAGTACCTCCCCCACAAACATTTTCAAAAAATATATTTTTTGCACAGAAAGGGAAACGATAACCCGATTTTGTTTCAACTTTCCGAATCCTAATATTTTCGTCAGTGCTAGGTCAAGAGCGAAAATGGACAATATCGGTCCACTCCATCAAGTTTTGAATAATTACAATTTTTATAAAATGTGATGTAAGAGCCCGATTGTCTTCAAACTTTCACTCATCCCAATATTTTTATTAACCAATGATCTGGTGTTAAAATGGAATATATCGGCCCACATATTCTAGTACATTCCCCACAAAAGATCGACATTTTGAGTATCCATTAAGCTCATTAAAACGTGAAATTAACATCCGATTCCACTTACACTTGGCACGTCTGAGTATTTCTATCAACACAGGATCTGTTATAAAAAAGGTAGACATAGGCCCATTCCTTCTGGTACCTCCCCATATGGGGGTTCAATATTTTAAAAAAATAAATCGCTAAGGAAAGAAGAGAAAAAAGTATTCAACTCTCTTCCGATTTCACACATACAAACATTTTTGTTAACACAAGATCTGTTGTGAAGTTGATATATATCTGCGAACCCCTTCTGGTACCTCACCCACAAAGGGTCACAATTTTTAATAATTTTATCTGTCATAACTTGCGAAACAATCTAGCGATTATTTACAAGTTGAAATGCCTAAATGTTACGTCAACAAGAAGCCTGATATTAATATGAAATTTAGCGGAATTTATGATTTCGCTTAAAATTGGATATAAATATTCGATTTTCTTCTTTCCCAATATTTTTATTTGTATTAGATGAAGTATAAAAATGGAATACTGGTACCTCACGCACATTTTAACATTTTCTAAAACTTATCACATAGGGTAAGTGTACCAGTAGTCGGCAATTTTAGGATTTTCGCCTTTTTAATCGCTCACCATTCTGAGTGGAACTTTTCAATTATTACAAAGTTAGTTTATTCAGATAGTTTTTTTCAATAATAAATAAAGTTTTTATATATTTTTATTAAATTTCATAAATTTGTAGTTTTATTAAAACAATGCTTTTTTGGCACCACTTGCCAATTGTCGGTATGGCATGTTCCAACAGTCGGCATACCAATTTTTTGTAAGAATAATTAATAATAATAATAAATTAATTCATTAAAAATATAATATTTTTGTTTAGTTAAACTGATTCGACGTCTTTATTGTACTTTTCTTAAGAATATGGATTGTTGAGGGCCTTCACAGACAAAAATTTAATTTTTATTAGAATAAATCATCTTTTCTTAGCGAAATTGTACACAAAGATAGCTGACAATATATTTGAAGTAAACAAAATACATTTAGTTATAAAAGTTTCATTTATTTGGGCTTAAAAATAAAAAGTGCCGACTACTGGGACATGCCGAACTTAGGCATATAAAGTGAAGGAAGAAGTGGATATAATCCATACCAGGCACGTCGCAATATTTATATCATATTAATCATAACACAAGTCAAAATATATTTAAATAATCGAACATGGGCTGAGGGTATACATCTATCGGCAAAACCGACTGATACTTTTTAACTTGTTTTTTATCTTTACAATGACCAAACAAATATTTTCGCATAACATTAAAAATTATATTTTGACGTTTGTTTTTTAATTGACAGATCTTTTGATAATCATCTGAGCTGGAAGGTGGTCTTATACTTGTATCATGGATCACTGCGATGTGAGAGTGAAATCTTTATTTGTTAATTTAATTTATAACTAAGATACATACAAGCTATGTGTAAAGAATAAAAGGCTTTCGCAGCGATTGTACATAACTTTGCCATCTAGATTACATTATTTGAAACACTCTTGATGCGTTTTAAGGTACTGTACTTCTAGGATTAAAATTGAAAATATATATTCTATTTTCCACATTTGCATATTAAAGTTAAAATTGAACTTCATCCATGCATATTCCACCAACATAATCACACACGCAGAGAAGAAAATATGTTTGTTCCAACAATATTCGAAGAGTAAAATATGTATTGTAAAGGTATAGTTGGATTTATTATGTAGTATTGTCAGTCCAACTATTGTTATTGTCGCACTGGTCTATAATAGTTTTGGTCGCAAGTAACAATACTTATTTTTGCAAATCACTATAGTTTAGATCAAAATGAAAAATGAATATTGTAAAATTTATAATAGTTTTTATCAAAAGTCACAATATTTATTTTTGCCATTAGCCATAGTTTTGGTCAAAATTGAGAATGGGTATTATAAAAACTTACAATAGTTTTGGTCGGAAGTAACAATATTTATTTTTGCACTTTTGGCATAATGGAAAATGAATATTGTTAGAATTTATAACACCCATAGGTTGGAATGTTAGAAATGCATTATTTTAATAAAATATAATATGTCATTTCGAAAAAAAATTTATTTCATATTCTTATATTCTTAAAAATTACAAATAATACTGAACAAATTATAATTAGTTTAAAAAATAAGAGTCTTCTTTGGATGTGCAAATATATGCCGTGTAACTTGATTCCAATGACAATACATTAACCGAAAGGAATTCATTTTCATATTCCATTCTGAAAGCATGGTAGTGAGCATCGAACCCATGCGATATTAGATTATATTGAAATATACAGTTTGTCAAGTAATTGTTTTCGAATAAAGAAAACGAACAATATTTGGATAAATTTATAACAAAATTCAGATAATTTTAATAAAAACGTGGATTTCAAAAATTAGTTGATCTACTTGCAACGTTTAAAATAAATTTAAAATTTACCTACGTAAACAAGAATAATAACGTTTACTGTTCATTTTCTTGGTTCAAAAATAAGTATTGAAGAACCTGTATATGTAAAATTGGGTATAATTACATTTTTTTAAATTTGTACGCCTATTTATAAGTCCTTGTGTGCTTAATTTAGTTCTTTTATTATTATAGGAGTCAAATAATTTTCCTTTTGCCAAGTGTCCTTTAGTGAAAGGTACGTAGTAAGTTTCAATTACTTCTGATGGGAACACTTCTATAATAGATTGTGAAAGTTTAAAAAAAACCTCTTTGTAAATACTGTGAAATAGAAACAAAAATCAGTGAAGGTAACTCAATAGTAAATTAATGTTATTTTACCGTCTATTTGGGTTTTCTCTCAAGATATGTGATATAATAATTTTTGCAATATTTGTTCTGTCTTTGTTTTCCAGGGTATTATATTTCATTAAATGCCGTATTTCAGCCAATTGTTTAATTTCCTATACCAAAAGAAAATCAAAAGGTTTTCAAGATTCCTAAGTTTTTCAATATACCTCTGTTGTAGGAATACTAGGATAAACATGTCTGTCAACTGAACTATTATGACTTAAGCATAAATCGTCATCATTAAGCGTTTGGTAAATTTCGGACGATGTATTTTGAAAAACGGGTTTTTGTGATAATTGCGATTCGATGTCTGCGGTCGAATTTGATGCTGAATTATCATCTAAAAATGAAAATGTGTGAGAAATATTGATCAATAATCATAAATTACTGAAATACTTACCACTTAATTTTATGTCCAAAACAAAATCGGTTGAAGATATGTATTGTTGAACCAAAGCGGTGAATATACTTGGAATTATTAGAAAATTCTTATTATAAATTTCCACTTCAGCTGCCGGTGGTATATTATAAGTTTTCTTAACTACAAATGTAAACAATAATATTTTATTTAAAATTAATTTTAACATCAATTTGAAATTCAGCATTCGCAAGACGTCAGCTTATTTATATTAATTGTAATTATCCACTTGAACTAAACTTGATGTTATTTTTACTTCAGCTGCTGTTAAGTAAAACAGATCTACAATTATTTGGCCACAATAAAAACAAACCAAATCTATTTCTATTGAAGCTTTCCTTTCGTTTTCTCTTTTGTAACGTCTGCTTCAACCAACTTTTTTTGTTTCAGCTATTCAAAACAACTCACACACAGATTGAAAAGCAGTGGTTTCTTTGATTTAAACTTTGCCGGTATTGCAAAACATATTGGGTTGAATTTAAAATCTAATTTACACGCAGGGTTTTCGACGCAGAAAGCTGGTGGTTTTCTGTTTCTAACAAATTTGATGACACTACAAGAAAAGGGAAGAGAGAGTAACGTTGTTTGTTTGTTTTGTTCTTTATTTCAACAACCAACCACCACGCTTCACAAAAAAAAAAAAAAAAAACACGCGACCAAAACAAAACAAAAAATACACAATGCCTACTATGCTGTCTTTGTTGTTAAATTTTTCACATACAATACACCAACAGTTGTAAAATATTTAAAGAATTCACTTTATTTAATGATGTCAAACTTTTATGATTTGAAATACTTTTTTGTTTAAACTTTTCACATTTGTATATTACCTTCATTTGCAAACAATTTATAATCATTAATTCCATCAAATAACACTGCAACAAATTCATTATTGTTTTGGAATGTTGTTTTTAAAAGCTTGAAGTCACTCATGTCTACTTTTTGTTTTGAACCACCTTCTTCAAATCCCGAACAAAAACTGATTTCGGAGAAGACACAAAAAACTTCACCGGCTGTTAAACACAAAAAAAGAGAGCACGACAAAGAATGCAACTTCAAATAGAGTAAATACTGAGCGAGTTAACGGCAGGGAGATAAGAAAATAGAAAATGTGTATCTCCTGAAAAAAAAGCAATTTCAAACACCAAAAAACCAGTTATTAATGACAATATTTTTTGTAAACATTCTAAATTATGACGAGTCTAACTATCGGTATTGTTAACGATTTTTACAATACTTCGGAATTAGGAAAGTTGTTTTTGTTTTTTATGTTTGGAGCAAAGATTGTGTTTTTGGATTTGCAATTGCAATGTTTGTAGAAAACAAATGAATTGCTGGAACAAAAACATACATGATTGTTCCAACAAAAGCGACAAATATTTTTTCTCTGCGTGCAGCTTCTCGTATATTAATCCCACCTGCATAATCGCTTCCGGATCAATTCGCTCTTCATTCCTCAGATTACGATAAAGGTTGTATATCAATACGAATTTCACACTTTCAATAACTGAAAGATAAGATAATGACACGTGCATGTAATGTCATATATATGTTTGCCAGACTATTACAAACTTAACTGACTACCTACCTATATTGATCGCACATACAAGACGCAGCGTTTCAGCTTTCACAGACCACAGAAATGTTGCAGTAATGCCACATAGATAGGCAACAATTTTCATAAATGTTACCACCAAAAAAGGGATCATTAGCATTGGTCTATTCTAAAGGAGTTAACATAAATAATGAGTGAGCAAGAGAAATTTAATTTTTCACAATTCCACATTGGGATAATAAGACCGTTCTATTTACAAATCTTATCGCGTTCTCAAAATGAGATGATCCACCCAAATGTTACTGTTACTCTTCTGTTAACTGTTATTGTTCTCTTATTGAGTCAACAGAGACCCTTTGTCCTATTTTAAAACTAGTTTTAAACAAGTAAAAAAGCATCTAAGTATGGCCTGGCCGAACTTTTTCTATCCTGCACCATTTAAAAAAAAAAAACTTAAATAATTTCAAAAAAAAAAAAAAAAAAAAAAATCCGTGAAAAAAAACCGCTCAAATGAAACCCGTTATATGGGGGATACACGAAGACGTGGTCCTGTATAAATAATTAGTGTCATAGGCTGTAGTAACGATTCAGAACTTTATGTACGAAATTTGAAATAATTCCGGTGAATAATGTCGCAAAAATCATTCAAATACCGATTATCGGTGGATATACTACATCGTGGACCCATGTAGACAATTCTCTTCTGGGGGGTATAGTACTCAGAAAGAATCCCTTGTTTGGATTTTAAGATAATTCCGTTGAAAAATGTGGTTAAAATCATCAAAATACCGAATATCGGCAGGTACCGTTAGATGGGGCATATTCGATATCGTGATAATTCTCTTCCAGGTTATAAAGTACTCACAAAGAACTCTTTGTGTAGAATATCAGTCAATTCCATTGAAAAATGTGGCTACAATAATCAAAATACCGAATATTGGGGGGTACCGTTATATGGGGCTATACGATATCGTGGACCGATATGGACAATGTTCTTCCACGAGAAAAAGTATTCAAAAGGAACTCCCTGTGTGGATTTTAAGACAATTCCATCGACGAATTTGGCTACAATAATCAAAATACCGAATATCGGGGGTACTGTTACATGGGGGCTACATGATATCGTGGACCGATATAGCCCATCTTCGAACCTCCCTGCAGACAAAAGACTAATTTGTGCAAAATTTTTACTTTCCATTTTAATTCGTTTTGACTCTAGTGTGATTACAACAGACGGACAGACGTCTTTGAATTTGTGCTGACCAAGAATGAGACTCAGTCAGAATTAAGAATGAGTTACGAACTTAATATACCCTCCAGGCTATGTATGGTGGAGGCTATAAAAAATGATATCTTGCGGAAATGTTTAGGAGAGACGGATCGGAATGGGTCATACGTTATGTTTACACTTATATTGAATATACTGAAAAACCGGACCAACCAACTTATTATCTTCCATCATTGCCAACTTTAATACTATCTTAAAATTTCCAAAAAAAAAAAAAACTTTAAAAATACCGAGTATTACACATTCAGGAATGTCTTATTTCTGATATAACATATCTTTTTTACTTACATTTTTCATACCTTTTATAAGAAACCCTGCAACAGCAACCATAATAGCACAATATAAAATGATGATTAAAAACGCGATTGCAATAGCAACTGAAATGATACAAAATTGAATTTCAGAACATACTTGGCAAATTATCGTTATGAAGGTTGTGTAAAAAATCTATAGTGGGTCTCCAAAGAGAATCATAACAAAATATCTAACCTATATAGTGGCTAGAATCTTAAAAAATTCTCGAGTAATATATGCCATGTTTTTTAATTAAAACAAGTTAAAAAGCTGTAAGTTCGGCCGGGCCGAACTTTGAAAACCCTCCACCATTTGGTACAAATTTAGCAATTTTCAAACAAATAAAATCCGTTAAAAATTCTGTTAAAATCTTAAAAATACCGAAACTAGCCGTGTATTACGTACGACGACGTGGACCTGCAAGGGCAACTTTCGTCATAAGCTATTACAATATTCAAATGCGAAACTTAAAAAAAATTGTTCATAATGTAGCTGAAATCATCAAAATACCGAATATAGGGAGGTACCATGGGGGTTATAAGACGTGGACCTACACACACAATTTTCTGTCATAGGCTGTAGTATCCATTACGAACTTCAAATACCGATTTTGTAACATTTCCGGTAAATAATGTCGCTAAAAGCATCAAAATACCGGATATCGGGAGGTACCGTTATATGGGTGCTATACGAAGACGTGGACCTGCACAGACAATCTTCTGTCATACGAACTTCAAATACAAAATTTGAAACAATTCCGGTAAACAATGTCGCTAAAATCATCAAAATACCGAATATCGAGAGGTACCGTTATATACGAAGCAAGGACCTACATGGCCCATTTTCAATACCAAAAGTCCCGCAGACATAATACACATTTGAGTAAATGTTTATCAACTTACTTCATTTCGTTCGGAAGCTAGAGTGATTTCCACAGACGGACAGACGGACGAACATTGCTAAATCGGCATAGAATTTTATGCTGATCAAGAATATACTTTGTGGGGTCTAAAATGTCTATTTGGAGGTGTTACCAACGGAATGACAAACTTAATATACCCTCCATACTATGGTGGAGGGAATAAAAGCATGCATGGCAGAAAAAGTTAATTAGCTGCTCTCCACACCATTAGTCAAGAGGACCTCTTTGTTAGAATTGCTACCTTATTTATAGGCTCTTTATCACTTATTTTGACTTACCTGTACTACTATCATCGATAATTTGATTTCCTCCATTAGCTGCACCGATCGCCATAAACAGTAAACTTATTACAATAGTGGCTCCTCCGGAATATACATCCCAGTATCCAATAAAATAACCAGCATTTACTTGAATCCCCATTTGTATTTTTTTGTTAATTTGCAAATTTGTTTTGGAATGTCTTCACTTAGAAGTGTTGTCCCCTAATGGCATCACAACACTCAAACGAAAAATATTTTGTTTATTATTTTTAAAACAGCCTTTATCATCGCTGAAATCAGTAGCTTAATTTGAAAACTGGCAAAGAAATTAAATTAGAAAAGAACTTTGTGATAAGTTCCACTTGGCTGAACATATGCGAAATGTGTTCTTATCATCCTCTGAATGTTTCCAATCTAAGAAAACCTATTTACTATTAGAATTAATTCTTTTTATTATTAGAATTAAAAGTTTCACATGGGCCACTTACACTCTATGTATTATCAGTAGCACCAAAAATAATTACAAATATACACCCTCTGTTTTGTCAGTAAACAAACAAATAATGTGTCATTCCTATAAAATTTACAAGGCAAATTAACTTACTTTTCTCATACCAAGTAATGAGTTAGGCCTACAGACGGGGTTTGAATATCCGTGCCAAAAATACATACATAGAAGCGAGAGAATACGAAAAGGTTGCCGACATACAAGTCGTTAAACAACAATTAATGTTTGTAGCAGTCGATTAATAAGTACTTGCTTATCGACTGTTGGCACTAAAAGTCATTAAATAAGTGATTATTTATTCGACGTTTAGTGGCAACTTTCGTGGAGTATTCCTACGTTAAAATAATGGGTTGGTAGGTCGAATAAAAGAGTGGTGATGAGTGGTTGCAGATACTAAAATCTCTTATTATACCCTATCCTAGTGGTAAGGATTTTATGTCTTCGTGCATTTGTTTGTACCATGGAGAAGGAAGCAAGATAAAACCAAAGTTACTTTTGAGGATCTTCAAAAATTCACTTTCTGAATCGATTTATACATGTCAGTCTGTTCATGTATTTTTGTGAACAAAATGCACGTCGCATTTATTATCCGATTGAGATGAAATTTTCTAAAGAATATTTGTTTGGCCCAAGGACGAACCCTATTGAAATTGGTGAAAATCAGTTAAAATTTAGATATAGCTCCCATACATATCTTCAACCGATTTCGGCTTAATTGAGCACCAAATAGCCCAATGATCTGAATTTTGACACATCCGACCGAATTCAGTCTGGAAGCAAGCATATCAAATTTGGTGAAAATCGGTTCAGCGCTTGTGGAGAAACATTGTATGTATAGGTCCACGTTTTTGTATAGCCCCCATATAATGGTACCTCCATTTTCATAGATTTGTCTAAAAATTGGTATGTGCAGTTCGTAGTGGATTCTTAATGTGTTTTACTTGTTAAAATTATAAATTTCCGAATTCCTGCTTTAAACAATTCATTGGCTCCAAACAATCCATGAATTCGCATGGCTCCATACAATCCATGTATCCCAACCAAAGCACAGATTAAACTCGGTAGTGAAATTTATCCGCTAGCAGGAGGGCTCGATGGTTGGGAGTTTTATATGGAGTTTGATTTTCTCTCTTTTATTTTTTGTAGGAGCGCTCCCGATTCACTCCCGTTTGAAAAATTGGAGTGGGATTCGAATCGCTTTAAATAGAGTTATAGTGCACTTTATTAGTGAAATCGGGCGACATATTTTTGTTGATTTTGTGTGTGTTTTGATTTAGCTGTGAAGAGTGTTCGGTAAGTGTAGTATATGCTCAGTTTGGGGTGAATTTTGCTCCCACCTTAAAAAAGTGAAGCATGCTCGCTTCTATTCGAGCGACAATTCAAACGAGTATCACAGTTTAATCGTGCTTCAACCGATTTTTTCGGAGGTCCGCTTGTCCTGCAAACATTTGGAAGTGAGTTTCTCACACCCTCTCCCAAAGGACACCTCTACGACGCTTCTTGTCTGGTAAATATCCGATAGGTTGAACTTTACAAAAACAAAACTACTGTTGTCTTCTTTTTATCGTCAATGAGTTACTACTTAGTGGCGCTCTCTGCTCTCTGAACACCCGGGATCTATTCCCAAGGAGGACATCATATTTTCAAACGAAGAAAATTTTGTAAAATATAAACAAGTAAAAAAGCAGCTAAGTTCTGCCGGGCCGAACTTTTAATAGCCTCCACCATTTTGAAGGATCTTGAAATTTTTCAAAAAAATCCGTTGAAAAATACCACTTAAATGCAAATTCTTATATGGGGGCTATACGAAGACGTGAACCAATATTCAAAGTTCTCTTTCAGGTAGTAAAGTACTCAGAAGGAACTTCTTGTTTGGGGGACATACGATATCGGAGACCTATATAGACTATTCTCTTCCAGGAGGTAAAGTACTCATAAAGAACTCCTGGTGTGTATTTTGAGACAATTCCATGTGACTAAAATCATCAAAATACCGAATATCGGGAGGAATCGTTATATGGGGGTTATAAGATATTGGGGACCGATATAGCCCATCTTCGAACTTGACCTGGGTACACATTTGAAGTCGTTTTGACTCTGTTGTGATCAGAACAGACGGACAGACAGGGTCAAATCTTCTTAGAATTTGACGCTGATCAAGAACAAATATACATTGTTAGGTCTGAAATGATTATTTTGATGAGTTAAAAACGGAATGACGAACTTAATCTTAACATACCCTCCATACTATGTATGGTGGAGTGTATAACAATAATAAAAATTTTTTTGTCTTCACCACAGTTTGTCATTCTGGTTGTAACACCTCGAAATATACATTTTAGACCCCACAAAGTATATATATTCTTGATCAGCTTAAAATTCTATGTCGATTTAACTACTGCTTTCTGTCCGTCTGTGGAAATCACTCTAGCTTTCTTACGACTTGAAGTAGTTTCGAATTTGAATATTGTAATGTCCTATGACAAAAAATGCATATGCAGGTCCACGTTTTGGTATAGCCTCAATATAAGGGTAACTCCCTATATTCGGTTTTTTATGATTTGGACGGATTTTATTTTATTTTTTTTTTTTTGTTAAAATTTCCAAATTTATTCTAAACTGTCGAGGAAACGACTTCCGTGATTATTAGAATTAACGCTGTGTGCGCTATTTAGTTAAACTAAACTTAAAATTATCGCGGACGTTGCTCATTTCTTTTCGAAGGATGTAACTTCTGCGATGAGAAAGTGATATCAACTGCGTTGATTTCAATCGCTTAGGTGTGACTGCTTAGTTACTTCCGGGATATTTTTTGCTCAGGGTAATACATAATAAACTACGATGAGTTGTTGATGTCGATTTAAGCTTTCAAACAATCTTTTATGTTCGTGTCCGTGGCCCAGTGTCTTCAACTCAAAACATAACTTTCGGATGACATTCCTTTTGTAAACGAAATGGGATTTGTAGGTTGAGTCAAGATTAGAAAACCCATAATTATGTTTTCTCAAAGAATATATCGATGAAGTAAAAGCTCGTTCTTCGGCGATCCATCCGAAATAGATATCCTATAAAGGCTATGGCCAGAAATAAGATAGAGACATCCTCATTACGTACATATGAATGTATATTTATTCTTATTATAATTAATGTTAAGTGAAATAGCGACAAAACGCTTTCTTATGTTGAACATCTGTGGTCAACCGCAAAAAAAGTATGGGTCATACGCTTGATCTTAAAATAGCGACCATGATATTAATGCCCATATATATAATTACATCAGTTGCAAGAGAAATAGCGCTGTGATCAAATCGACAATAATTTACGATAGAGTAACGTAGTAAAATCAATCATGGGCCTGAGAAAGATATTTACACGGCCAGTTTTTGGTTTATTTGTGACATTTGTTCACATTACAGCCTGTGTTTTATCGGTGGCCTATTTGGTGGGGTGCATCACTCACACCGTTGATGGCGATGAGACACACAAAAAATCCGTCCAGAATTATGTTATAATTCTGTCTGGTTATATCATCGTTTGTTTCGTACAAGTAACTATGTGTCTTATTTTAATTGTGGGAATTCTAAGGGTAAGTTTAAAAATTATTTTGATGTGATTTAAGTTATATTGACTTTTTTTCCAGAAAAATCACCATTTAATGGCCCCCTGGATTGCCACAACGTTTATCAGTTTGGTAGCGGTGTTTTTCTACACTCTGGCCATGGTGTGTTTCAGTTTCCTCAATGAATTCTCAACGAAAGATAATCCCAAGAAACTCTCCAGAAAAGAACATTTCGATCGAATTATACCGGGTCTGGGATATTTTTGTAAGTAGCAACTTAAATAACAAGATGGGATTGTACTATTAGGGTAATATTCTAGCTCAGTTCTCAGCTCAAGCTGAGTCTCTGGCATTTCATACAATTGTCTAAATGCAGATGATGATTAGTTCGAGACATCTAGAGCCATAATATTTTGTACAACACAAAACGATTTAGGGCGAGGCATTTTCGCTCTTATTCGAGTGGCATAAAATCTCGATGTCTTTTCGGAGCTATGATTCGAAAATGTTGACTCCCATTCTTACTTTTCAAATAGGAGTGTTCACAAGCGCTCTAACACAAAACCAAAGATTAGAGAGTGAAATTCCCTGTAAAATTCTTACTCTTCGAGCACTTCTCACTCACGTGTAAAATCGAGTAAATCTGAGATCTGGAAATATAAAACTACAACTGATTCTGTCCGAGTTACACATTTTTGTTCTCCCAATTACTCTCTGCCTTCACAGACACACGTTCTTGCTTTTGCCTTTCCCTGGTTTCGATATTTCTGTGGAGATGGGAAAGATCGTGTAGACTAAGAAGACAAAACAGCAGAGCAGAATATTGAAAGGTGTTTTTTTTTTTTTTAAACAAGTAAAAAAGCATCTAAGTTCGGCCGGGCAGAACCCTCAACCATACGGAAGGAACTTGACAAAATTCAAGAAAATATTCTGTCGAAAAATAGTTTGATACGGGGGCTATACGAAGACGTGGTGCTGGAAAGTAATTGTTTTTGAAGGTTGTTGTAACGATTCCGAACTTGAAATACGAAATTCGAAACAAATTCAGGCGAATAATGCCACTGATATCATCAAAATACCGAATATCGAGAGGTACCGTTGTATGGGGGCTATACTAAGACATGGATCTGCAAAGACAATTTTCCGTCATAGGTTGTAGTGCCCATTACGAACTTCAAATACGACATTTGACGCAATTCCGATATTTCGTATTTTTATGATATTAGCGACATAATTCACCGGAGATGTTTCAAATTTCGTATATAGACAGAAAACTGTCTATGCAGGTCTAGGTCTTTGTATAGCCCCCATATATCGGTATCTCTCTATACGCGGTATTTCCGATGATTTTATTTACATTGTTCACCGAATTTTTCCAAGTTTCGTAGTTGAATATTGTAAAGGTTGCCTATGCAGATCCACGTGGTCATATAGACTTCAAAATAACGGCTACAGGGTGAGATGAAAAAACTGCAACCAACTTCAGACTGCTGTCATTTCTAAGCCACTCGTCCGATAGCTGTTAAAATTATTCCAGTGGCAGCTCATTATATTCTTTACAAACGTGCAAAAGCATTTTGGTGAGAATTTTCCAGAGAAAAAAGTTATTCGTGATGGAATTCAAGCACGATAGTGTGATTTTTTTATATTTGGCTGGCAGACTACAATTGGCTATCGTTAGAGCACTTCAGCTTTTAAATGTGAATAAATCTTTTGTGTCTGGTACCATCGCTCGTTACCATGATACTGGTAGCGTAGGCCGACGTCAAGGAAGTGGACGGAAGAAAACAGCAACATCCGCAGAAATGGTTCGAAAAGTAAATAAGCGACTTGATCGAAGCCTACGAAAAATGGCTCGTGAGCTGAACATATCGCATATTGAAAAATGAGCTCGGGGTAAAGCCATTGAAATTCCGAAAAGTGCAAGAATTTACACCACAAAAGAAAGAAAATAGACTCAACCGAAAGTGGTGAACTGTCGAATTTGGTTTTCTCCGACGAGAAAACATTCGTTGTCCAGCAGTTTGTAATCAAACAAAATAATCGTGTTTACTTGTCAAAGAGGTCGGCTGAAAATGTGCACCTTCGGTTGGCCACCAGAACTCAAGCTCCGGCCATGGTGATGGTATGGGCCGCCATAACAGCCGATGGTCGCACTCCGCTTTTATTAATCGACCGTGGCATCAGAATAAATGCCGAATATTATAGCGAAAATATTCTGGAGTCGCACTCTGCACGCGCCACCCAAGGATGGTTACAAGCAAGCACTTCGCCGGGAATGTGCGAAAATACCGCTGAACAAGATTCAGGCAGCGTGTGACGGCTCCATTGGCCGTTGGAAGACCATAATTCGGGCCAAAGGGGACAAATTCAAACACATCTAAACTTAATCTAAAATTTGATGCAATTTCCGACATTTTTGCTTTCATTCGATAAAATTTAAAAAAAAAATAATGACGTTGTTGAAGTTTTTTTTTATCACACCCTGTATAACTGGCCCTTCTGAACTCCGCCGAAATATTAAATTGATGCTGATTTCGTTGGAAACTGTATCTGTGGCTGGAAACTTTAACGCAAGACATATCTAAAATCTTGCATAGCTTAAATTTTGAAATCCATAATTTGGACTATACACTTATACATACGTTCGCTGAAACTGTGCAGCTGTTCATCCGAATTTCAGATCGAAGAAAACTCTGCATTAATTTTAGTTTTCTTTTAGATTTTTTGATCACCAATAATATTAAAAACTAAATAGAAATGGTAGAGAAAGTGTAAATTTTTTAAGAAACAGCTTTTAATTGAATTTTAAATAAATTATTAAATCTTCTCTTTATAATTTGAGCTATCTATGTAACTTGTCCATAACGACTTTTTTAATATTGATTCTGTATCTATTTTCTATTGTTTCTTTACAGTGACTCACGTTTGCCTATTCTATCCCATCTATGTCCTATACAAAAGTATTTTGATTTTCCGTCTCAAAAAGGAGGGTTTATATGAAGATTCAATCGAATCTGAGGGATGCGATGAACTGGCCGATTCTGTAGAAATTCATTAGCATAGAATATGGAATATTGTATTGAATGTGATATTGTTATAGATGAATATATATATATATATATATATAGACTGTTTAAAAATCTACTAAAACCCACTCGACGCGGAGACATGTGCCTTCGATTTTTATAACCGACACCACTGAGTGTTTTGTCTTTGAGCTTTTGTTTGTAATATGCCAAATGAATAAAGATTGTTCCTTCTGATGATCTTCGTAAAATCACATTCTGAATCGTTCTATGCATGTCTGTCCGTCTCTCTGCCCATTTTGTTTTTGTGAACAAAACACAGGTCGCAGTTATTGCGATTTCACATTTAAGTCCTCTATATGCGAAATGTTCCTTTCAAAACAATGATATTTGGTACAAGAGAAATATCTTTGACTTTTTTTTGGATATAGCTCCCATATACATATGGGGGATACAAGATATTGTGGACCGATATAGCCCAGATCTGTGCAAAATTTTAGCTTCCTATCTTAATTCGTTTTGACTGTAGCGTGATTACAACAGACGGGTGGACGGACAGGGCTAAATCGTCCTAGAATTTTACGCTGATATATATACTTCGTTGGGTCTAGTATTATTATTTCGATGAGTTACAAACGCAATGACGAACTTAATATACCCTCCATACTATGTGTGTTGGAGAGTATTAAAAAATGACCGAAAAAGCATCATGGGGCTCATTTCCAAATGTGGACCTAATTCTTTCAAATGACAGTAATCCGTCCAATGGAACTTAAAATGCAAAATACATTGGAACAGCAATCACTGAAATGCAAATCGGAACCGATCTCTATAAAATTTGGCAAATATATTTCTGAGCTGTATTTGATATATTTACCTGAATATCGTTGTTATGGAGTGCATATTACGGCTGTGGTAACAAATATGACAAATCGGATGAACAGTATATATGGGAGCTATAGCTATATTTGAACCGATCTTCACCAAATTCGACATACTAGCTTAGGTCGTAAGTGCGAAATTCCATCCCATTTGGACAAATATTAGACGTTTGGTGCACAGTCAAAGATAAATTGGACGAAGTTATATATGAGAGCTATATCCAAATCTGAACCGATCTCGATAAAATTTAGCAAATGTATTTCTGAGCTGTATTTGATATATTTCCCAAAATAATGTTGTTACAGAGTACATATTACGGCTGCGGAGGACAAAAATAACAAATCGGATGAACAATATATATGGGAGCTATAGCTATATCTGAACCGATATATTCAGACTGATATTACACGTTTGGTGCACAATAAAAGGCAAATCGGACGAAGATATATATGGGAGCTATATCTAAATTTTGACCAATTATCTCCAATTTCAATTGGGTTCGTCCTTAGGCCAAAAAAATGATTTGTGCAAAATTTCATCTGGATAGGGCAATAAATGCGAACTGTACTTTGTTTACAAAAATACATGGACAGAGGGACGGACAGACGGACATGCATAAATCGACTCAGAATGTGATTCTATGCAGATCATTAAACGGAACTATGGGTCTATCTCGTTTCCTTTTGCCTGTTACAAACAAATGCACAAAGACATAATACCCTGACCACCTTGTGGTGTAGGGTATAAATATTCCATATCAAATGTTAGTGGAAGCTTCTGAGCAGAAGAAATCTTTATACTTAATATGTAACATAAACAATTAAAGAAGCAGCTAAGAAGCTTGAACATTTTTAAAGAATTCCGAAAAATACAGCTAAGATAAAAACTGCAATTTGGGGGCTATACGAAGACGTGGGCCTGCATATGAAATTTTTTGTCATTAAGATATCCACACACGAAATTTGAAACAATTCCGGTTAATAATGTCGATAATATTATCAAAATACCGAATAAAGGAAGGTACATTTAATTGGCTGCTATGCGAAAGCGTTGACCTGAACACGATTTTTTTTTCATAGGCTGTAGTACCCTTTGTCAACTTTAAATACGAAAATTGAAAAATTCCGGTGTATAATGTCGCTAAAATCATTAAAATGCCAAACATTATATTGGGCCTGTACGAAACTTAACCTGTCTACTGGCAATACACACACGTGTGCAAAATTTTAGCCCTATATCTTAATTTGTTCGAAAGATAGAGTGATTACAAAAGACGGACAGACAGACAGAAGAATATCGTAAATTGACTTAGAAATTTACCCTGATCTAGAATATATAAACTTGGTAGGGTCTAGCATGAGTATTTCGAGGAGTTACAAACGGAATGACAATGTTAATATAACCTCCATAGAATGAAGCTTTAAAGCACAATATTCGTGAAATCATTAGTGCAATACAGCTGCGTACAAACAATAACATGCCTAAAAATTGGAGCGATCGTGTAGGCTACGGCATGGCTAGCCGAATCAGCCATTTAAATGAAGTTATTTATCATAATAACCGGAAGGATTTTCAAATTCAATTCAATTGAAATAAAAAAGAATTGTAAGAAAATTCATTAGATTATCAAAGAAAATGTTGTTTGGCGGACCCTGTATATACTTAAAATAAACAACTAAAAAAATGGTGTTAAGTTCGGTCGGCCCTCCACTAGTTGGAAAAAAAACTCATGTAAAAATATATCTGTTAATGTCGAAATTCCAGCATTCGAGGTACATGCGTCACTCCTTTCATTAGGAACATACAATCCAAACAACTAGAATGTAACTTTCAAATTTTAAATAAAACACAGATAAAAACCAGTAAAGAAAGTCCTAAAGTCGAGCGGGGCCGATTTTATGATACCCTACACCACTTTGCTAATTTAGTTGAGCTTAACATAACAATTAAAAGTTTTTATGGGAGAATTCAATCATACACCCTGAATGAGAAGAGAAAACCAACCGAACGGTTTGGCTGTAGTTTCAATTCTAGTTTTATTTCAAAAATATTTTCCTTACGTACTACTGAAACTAATCTAACTTAACCTAGTCGTAGCCACACAATTGTTCTTATCTATTCTAATACTGAATGGAGAACATTGCAGGGCTGCTTGGCATCTCATTCAAGTGGTCTTGTGCATCTACTGAGCGCATCGATATCTGTGCGTGTGGGTCATAACCTTTATTATCTCACACATTATCGTATGTGTCAGCGCACAAGATCACTGAATACTTCACATGTGATATTTTATGGCGGCTGGGAAATATTTAATTTTAGAATATTTATTGTTTATTGCTAGATTTTCCCAGCGCCTCAACCGCACTCAAAAGTATGTACAAAGTATTTTGTACATTATCCCGGGCGGCTTAAATCTGTATGTTAATAGTGGACTGTATTTTTATAAAGTTGAATAAATGTATACTATAAAATATTTAAATATAAAAATATGAAAAGGAAACTAACTATATATGCTCAAACAATCTAAATATTCTATTAAGTAACTGCTTCCAGGAAACGACTCCATTTCTTTGTCCAGTCCTTCTTGCAATTTCCACCACCTTTATCTGCCGGCTTCATTCTCCATACCGCATTCATAGTCCATCGATGCAGACCGCCATCATTTACGTCGGAAAGGATTACCATTGGCTCCATGGTACGCTCTGCTTTGTCGTGTTCTACTTTTACGACCATCGATGATTTGCTATTGGTTTCTCTAAGGCAATACCGTTCAAGAACCGGAACCAGAGAACTTTGTTCGGCTTTACCCATTTCTTCGTTGTATTCTTTTCATATTCGTTGGAAATGAAGGGACCTTCTGTACGTAGAGGCTTTCCTTCTTTTTCCTCTTCTGCTATGTTTTCTTTTCCTCTAGAATCGTTGTCGTAATCAACATCCCCGTATCCGCCGAACATGTTGGGGCCTTCTGCACGTGAATCCATTCGTTCTTCACCGAGTGTTTCATTGCTCAGGGCGGATTCTTCTTCTTCTTTCCGTTCCTCAAAATGAGGACTTGCCGGCGGGAACAATTTCACAATATTTACTTCTAAGCAAGGAATCTGCTTTAGTTGAGCAGCATCATGTTTTATTCTTAAATTTTCCACTTGTTTAGACATGTCATCTCTCTCAGCTTCCAAGACTTGTCGCGCTCTTTCCGAGCTAGCCAATTTTTCATTGACTTTCTCTAACTTCATTTTCAGATGTCGCACTTGATCTTTCTGAACACGATGTTTTTCTTCGAATTGTTCATCTTTGGCCCGCAGGTATTCTTCAGATTTGGCGAGCAGATATTTTTCGTGGGCCTTCGCATTTCTCAATATCATTTCACTTTTTTCCACTTCGGTTGTTAGTTGAGAACGCAATTCGATTGCTTGTCCCTGCAGAGATTGAAAATTGTTTTCATAGGCTTGCATTTGTTCGTGCAAACCATCTTCTAATTCTCTGTCGTAATCTTCCTTTGTTTCGACATAGTTGAGTTGTCTGTTTTCTTCCACTTGCTCTTCCCAAGTTAAATGGTCATATTTCAGCGAGAGTATCCATCGTGATGGAGGTTTCATCGAATCTTCGATTTTTTCATCGATGTCCAAGCCTGTGTAATTGCGACTCCGGGTTGCTAAAAGCTTCATTGCTGATAACATACACATATCCACATCACAGGACAATGTCTTCATAAGGGTTGGAAGATATTTTTGGTGTACCCTCAAGTACCGTCGTAACTGGTAATATGTGTTTTCTACCAGTACCTTCCATGCCGCGACGTGTTTCACCTTTTCAAAGGCTGACGTCGACGTTAATAGCTGGAAATAGTCTGCCAAAGTGGTGATATTTTCTTCCATTTTTTTATTCATTTTTTAATTTTAATGTTTTAGATGGGACTATTTGTCCTCTTTTCAAAACTTTTTTATATTGCCTTCTTGGCTTTTTTCGATTTTTTGATTTTTTCAGTTGGGACTTTGATGTCCTCTTTTCCAAAATTGTATATTTTTATGTGGGACTGTTGTTGTCCTCTTTTTGTTATGTTTTTTTTTTTTTTTAGTTTGCCCCGTGGGTCTTCTTTTTATATTTTTAAATTTTGCCTTTATGGCTCTTTATAATTTTATCCCTCAACGGATTTTTATTGGTAGCTATTCTCCTCTTTTTTGAAGAACAGCTACTTCTGCTTGTAGTGAGTCTCTTACCACTGGTGGTGGAAAACTCCTACTATTTTCTTTTTGTGGTCGCTAATTCGTTTCACTTTGACAAAAGTGAAGGCTCGATTGACCAATGAATGAGAAGAGAAAACCAACCGAACGGTTTGGCTGTAGTTTCAATTCTAGTTTTATTTCAAAAATATTTTCATTACGTACTACTGAAACTAATCTAACTTAACCTAGTCGCAGCCACACAATTGTTCTTATCTATTCTAATACTGAATGGAGAACATTGCAGGGCTGCTTGGCATCTCATTCAAGTGGTCTTGTGCATCTACTGAGCGCATCGATATCTGTGCGTGTGGGTCATAACCTTTATTATCTCACACATTATCGTATGCGTCAGCGCACAAGATCACTGAATACTTCACATGTGATATTTTATGGCGGCTGGGAAATATTTAATTTTAGAATATTTATTGTTTATTGCTAGATTTTCCCAGCGCCTCAACCGCACTCAAAAGTATGTACAAAGTATTTTGTACACACCCTATGATTATAATTACAATTTAAAATTCAAAGGACTAAATATGTCGAAGCATTTGTATCTTTTAAATTCGGACTTGTATTGCCATTTGGTGCAAAATTAATTTGTAATCAGATAAAGATATATATGGGAGCTATATCCAAATCTGAACCGATCTCGATAAAATTTGGCAAAGATATTTCTGAGCTGTATTTGATATATTTCCCTGAATATCGTTGTTACGGAGTGCATATTACGGCTGTGGGTAACAAATACAACAAATCGGATGAACAATATATATGGGAGCTATAGCTATATCTGAACCGATCTCGATAAAATTTCCCCCAAATATTGTTGTTATAGAGTGCATATTACGGCCTTATTTGGTTGCGTGTGCAAAATTCAATACTATTAGGGGTGATATTACACGTTTGGTGCACAATAAAAAGCATCTATCTAGTTTCCTTTTGCCTGTTACAAACAAATGCACAAAGACATAATATCCTGACCACCTTGTGTTGTAGGGTATAAAAATTTATCACACACAATTTAAGCATTTCTCATTACTAAATCCAAAACACAAATGGCAACCCTTGTCCATAACCTTGATCTTGACAATCAAACGCGCTCACATAACCATCTCTTAAATACAACAACAGAAAAAATTAATTTATTTCAAAAATTTACAAGCATGTTTTCACTTTCGTTTTCATTTGGTATTCTGGCTTGTTCATCGTCGCATCACCCAGGCGTGTGTTTATGTTTTGGAATGCCCTTCCTATCCCTCTTCACCACTCACAATTGAAGTTGTTGTTATTATATATATTTTCTAATTTAAGAAATTCCACACACAATGCTTCTTTGTGGGATTAGATGAATGAGTGGCTGTCCGCCGGCCGGTCAGTCAGTCGCCCATAATATCATCAAATTTAACGGCAAATAAGGTGTGTCACAACACACGCTTCCCCCAATGCTGATAGCGCAGGTTTGTTGATGCCTCTCTCCCTCTATCAAAATTGTATTTAAATTTTCAAAATAAATAAAACGAAAAAA